TTTCGACTCTTCGCCCATGGGGTTTCTAAATTGGTCGACGTGAAAGCTGTATGCTCAAAACTTCACAAATATCTTCATAACACGGAGGCTGCTTGAACATTCCAGGATCCAGTGCCACGTGACCTAGTGCGTGATCCACGTGTGCGTGCAACACCATGGGCTTTGGGTCGTCCGAATCACCGAAGCCATAGCCCAGCGACTCTAGGTTTGGTGGATAGAGATCTTCACATTACACCACGCCATCAGATAAGTGTTGGCTGTACTTTCCCAGCCTAGCGCCTTCCTTTCGCTTCGACACGCGGCCCCTGCTCCACCGTCAGCCGGCTCTACGGAGTCGCCGGTCCGGCGGCGCAACAAGGCAAACGACAAAAAGTTGGAAGGCAAGAAGTGAAACGGCAAGAAGCTAAACAGGATACAATTTAAATGCAAAACAGTTATGGAAAAAAATCAAAATGGCAAAAGACGAATGAAAAAATGTAAATTAATAGTCGAATGACAGGAAGTCAAATGAATAAAATATTTGCTTGGCCAGCGAGGCCCCAGCCAACTTGGAGCCTGGTGACTGAACGTAGAGCGCGAGGGATCCCGGATTTGGATCAGAAAGATCCTCCCCACTCGATGCTAGATGTCTTGACGTGCGATGATTTTTCGTGATGTGATACCTTTAAGTCATCTGCTATGAGTCTTCTCGGCCTCGGAATATCATAGTCACGCAAATACCCTGTCTGCGAACGTCATTACGGGTTTGGAACTGAGAAGTTTCAGGGTGTCCCCCAAGCAAGACAAGGCATACTCGCAGGTTGGGCTAACGGGGAGGGGGGGGGGGGCGAGCTCCTGTCCGTGACCTAAAGGACTCCCTGAGCTTGAGCGGGGAAGAGAGAACCACCGCAACAGCCTGTTTCTACTTCCCAAACTTCATCTAGCGTCCTTCGCCAATGTTTTAGAAGCTGAGGTTCGTCCTTCTCACATTTTTTAGGGCCTGTGGAGACAAAGGACACCCCATTTTTCGGTTCCGGGAAGGGGGGGGGGCGATATCAGCACATCGCGACCATAATACAATTTTAAACGTTTTCCTTGCCAGATAGGCATTTTTATTTGACTGACGTGAGTCGTGAATAGCAGCAGAGTTTCTAACAAACGTCGTTTTGTGTGTTATTGTTGGATAGATAGTCAGACTTGTCACAGCCATGGACAAATATCTACTTGAAGTTAGCTGAGTGGTTTTCAGTGAAACGTATAAGCAAACATCTTAGAGGCCAGGGCTGTTTCTAAGCAGGGGCCTGGCTGCTTTAGCTTTCTTCTCTGCGCAGGCCTCGTCTTCTGAAGGAGCAGGCCCATTCATGTGGCGGCACTAATCCGTCTGTTCCGCACTGCGCAAAGCTGAATAAAACGAAAAATATGGCACGGCTGCCCATTGCCTACATGAGGAACACACCTTACTTGAATGCTAGTTTCTCAATAAAAACATGGCATAGATCAGTCTGACAGTCGCTACTCTGGGTACCGATTTTTTGTTTACGTGTTGTGCTAATGTGTGTTTACAGTGTTAACGGGTCGAGCATATGTCATGTGATATTTGTTTCTGATTAAGGAATATAGGGAGCGGAGGAAACCGGTACATCGGAGTGCAGATCAACAATAACTTGCCACGGTGGCATGTGCTGCGCCAGATGGACCGATGGCGAGGTGCGGTATGAATTAGGCACCCACAATTCAGTAAAAAAACTTCTATATCTCAGCACGGGGAATCCTGATCTGGGGCAAGGACCCGCTACAATATGAGGTCCTTCAATGCATAAAGGTATACAGTGCCCCTGATTGATAGAGGATATCTCCTAATCCGTAATAGGGCCTTCTGATTCATAAATGGGACCCTTTAACCATCCATTATTTATAACGAGGCCTCGTGACTCGGAACAGGACCTAAAAAGTTCACCTAGGGACCTACTGATGATGATGATGATGAAAAATGACGTTTGATGCAGACAGAGTCTCCTGAACCTAACTGAGGACCTCCTAGGTAACCGCAAAACTAGCAGTGTTGGTAAAAGGGACCTCCCAAAATAACCAAAAGGCAAAAATGGTTGAATGACAAATACATATTACTATCGCACTGCCAGCAGGCAGGGAACAGACGCCTCCCCCTCCCCCTCCTACACCTCACTGATTCAACCTACCAGAAAACGGGCCCCTTTGTTTTCACTGGCACGTAATGAGGGCCCATGATAGCATAAACAAGTCCCAGCCTCCAAGCAAACGAGGCAAACAGGCCTCGCGTCCGGGGCAGAGGGTGGAGTATTCCAGATTTGGCTCGGGACGGAGCCTGCGCTGACGACTTTCTCGGGATGTCGGGATCCGGTCAGCTTAAAAGCGTCTTGACGTTGCGTTGACCTGTAACACTTTTGACGTTTTGCCTATCCTCGCATGTGGTTTTTTGGCTTTTGACTTTTGTAAATTTGGCTTTTTACGGTTTGACTTCTTGTACTTTTAACTAACTGCCGTTTGACCTTTCGTACTTTTAACTACTTGCAGTCCGACTTTTATCCATCTGACTATCATCACTTTTGACTCTTTGCCATTTGATTTGCTCACAAGCTGCACGGGCCCGCCATTGCTGGCCTCCTCTCCGACAGCGGGGCCGCCGGCGGGTGGCCGACGAGTGCCGACGGGCTCGGCTTATCGCCGGCTGCACTCCCCGCGCCGCCGATCAGCCGCCGCCGGAGATGACGCGGCCGCGGCGGCCGCGCCGCGTCGATCGCGACGCGATACTGTCGTCGGCGAGACGGCGCGCCCGCCGACCGCAGCGGCATTATCGCCGCATTTCCATTACCGGGAGCCGCCGCGGCCTGTCGGGCGGTCGGACGCTGCGGCGGTGAGGACGGATGGCTGAGCCGGGAGCGGCCACGCGGGCGCAGTTGCGTGTGACGGTATGCATGGGCGGTTGTCGGGGGACAACGTCATCAGAGATCACATCCGGCCCAATGACTCTGGTCCTGACGGACGGAGCCAGTGATCAGCAGCATTCTGAGGGAGTCGTATGTGCAGCAAATGTGCTCTCAGGGATCTGCGAAAGATGAATGTATGTAGGGTTCGTTACGCTTGGGTATGGCAAACATGACAAACGGGCGAGGAAGATATGAAAGATTAACTTGCGGCTTGCTGGGAGTCACTTCCCTCTCCCCAGCTCATCCCACCCCACCGCCGCCTACCGTGAGTAACCAGCGAATCACGTTGGCAACCTGAAATTGGTATTCCCTGATGAGTGTCCGAGCTGAGGTGTATTTTTTACCAGGGCTGCAACCGAATTGTGCACATCAAGGGCTGTATTGCCGTGACTTGCAAATTGGCTTAATCGCACAACACTTCGTTCTGGCGATATCGCAAAATTCATGGAACAGTAGCAATAAGACAGTTCGAAAAATCGATGTCGCTGAACTACAGACGATTTGTTGGCTGGAATGCATTGGATTGCCCTGTTGCCGGCAGCATATGATGAATGTTTTTCGCTATCTTGTCAAGGCAATACAAAAACGCCCGCCGGAACAACGAAGACTGCTGCAATAAAAACGCTCTATATAAATAAATAGTATATAAATATATAGTATGATAAATATATATAATAAAATAAATATATATAATAAAATAAATATATATAAATTAATAAATTTAAACGCTATATAAATAAACTCTATATAAATAAAAACGCTCAAAGCATTGCTCTCGATGTCGCAACAGATGCTTCAAGCACGGATATGTGAACATTCCGCACGTAACAGTCAAACAGCAGGTAGCACTACGTTCATGATTGCGGAAGAAAGGGCTGACTGTTGCGCAAACATCGCGAGTGCGCAGTCTGAGTGCGGTTAGGCTGAGTTGTGCGGTCAGCACAGGTGAAAAACTTGAGCTGTAGTATGGTTAGCTGATGGTATTAGCACCAGAACGGCATTTTGCGAGTGAGTGGAATCAAATAAACGACGTTTTCATGACAGCTATCAAATACAAGTCAGCAAGTTAGCGTGAAGCACGAGAGCAATTTACCAGTGCACTGCAGGGCCTTCAGAATCGGCGTAGACGCCAAATCCTTCAACAGTTTAATTGGGAGTCGGTCGGAGGTGCTCATGCATGCATGGTAAACTACAATATCGATGCACATGCGCACGAATTTCAAATTTCAAGTTCAAGTTCAAGTTCAAGTCAATTTCAAGAGTTTCAAGTTAGGAATTATCATTTGCCTTTGTGGAATTGGGCTGCTGCCTGGATGCACTGACGTGGAAAGTCTCCTTGTGAAAATAAATCAAAGTCTCTCCAGAACTTGTATCACCATTCATATTTCAAGCGTTTAGGGTTGTGTTTACGGAAACGAAGCCTGACGGGTGTTTTTGTCTCATCTATGTGAGCTACAATTCCTTTTGTTGAGCGCATGTTGCGGGGTAAAGCCTGGTGCCACTGCGCCACGCGTGTCTGTTTGAGTCCGTCAACAACCACCGCTCACCTGACGGCGCGGATCAATCAACGATATTTGGTTTCTGACCAATCGTAGTCGTTCCCGCCATGGTCTTCAAGGTCTTCAACGTCGCCAAGGTAGTACAAGAGACCGACCTGTACAATTTTCTCCTCAGCCTCCATTTTACCCTCGTTTTTGCTGAGCCTCCGGCTATGTTTTGCACGTGTTAATATCGCATTCGTATTATCCGTTTCTGTGATTTTTGTTTCTTTAGGCATGATCATGGGCTTCGTCCAAAGCAGTACACATGTAATTTAATTTGGAAACCTAGCATCCGCTTATAAACTGAATCGTCTAGCAAAACTCACATTCGTAACACCATTTAGAGTAACAACCTCTCACTATAATCTCAAGCGTTATTTTCTACAATCATTAATTGAAACAATCTTATCATCCTAACCCACTTTCAGTGGATCGCTTGACACGCCTGGGGGAAAATGCTTCCGCGCTATTGGATGCAGTTTGAAAATTCACCTTTGGCAGCATTTCACTTCATGATTGGTATATTGGCAAAGTTTCATGATGCGCGTGCAGCAGACGACATTCAATGCACGCACACCGTTTCAACACTGTCATGTCAGGTCAGCTGTGTTGTTTACCCCCAGATGACCCCAATAGCTAAAACAGCCCTGTTAAAAAGATAGTCTGTATACCGGCGATTGTCGGCCTCAGCCCTTATGAACCGCAGCCAGTTCATGCATAGATCATTCATCTTTCTCGCCACGCTGCCTGTGTTTACGACGGAGAGCAAACAAGGTTTTTTGTGACGTACACACGAGCAAGAACAAGTTCACCTGGGGAGCTAAACCCAAAGTGAGACAGACTGCTCCCAAAGCTAAAAACACAGAGCAAACAATGCACCACGCCGGTACGAGTGTCATATCAAATGCCTAAAGAGCTGGCGATATTTTGCACTTTTGACTTCGACCGACTCCAACGGCAGGTGTCTCTGGACACGACACATTTTGCTTGGCAGTCGCTTGAAGTTAGTCACTTGGAGTCGGGCCGTAGCACATTCTGTTGCCCGCGCTAACAGGCACGACACAGCCGGCCGTGACGTCCCATCACGCCGTGTGACGCCGTCATGCCGTCAGGCACGCGCCTCGCGCACTCATCGACGGGCTTGCGGCGCCGTTGAGCGAGCACTTCCGCAGTTGCGTCCCCTGGCGTCCGCTCGACCTAGCCGAAGACAGATCGTGGCTGTCGTGCCTCAGCACTGGTCGCAGGCAAAGAGCTGAACTCCAGCTTGGGCGGGCCGCCCGCCGATCTCTCCAGCCGTCTCTGCAAGGCCGCTGATCTCTCCAGCCGGCCCTGCGAAGCCGCCGATCTCTCAGCCGTCCCTGCGAAGCCGCCGATCTCTCAGCCGTCCCTGCTAGGCCGCCGATCTCTCCAGCCGTCCCTGCTGGGCTGCCGACCTCTCCAGCAGGCCTTGCGGACTTACCAATCTCTCCAGAAGACCCTGCGAGTTCGCCAATCTCCCAGCAGGCCCTGCGAGCCCGCCGACCTCTCGACAACGCCCGAGACCGTCCGACCTCCGCAGCGATCCCAAGGGCGGGCCGCTGCCTCAGCGCTGACCCGCCGCTGAGCGGCGCTGGCGCCGCGCCAGCGTCCCGCGGCTGTCCCTTCACGTGCCGAACTGCCACAGCAGCACCAGCATGAGGGCGGCGGCGGCAGCGGGCGGCGGCAGCTCCGCGCCGCCTCCGGACGTGTGCATCGCCGCAGGCGTTTCGCCTGCAACGGAGTGGGCGCGTGAGACACTGCGTGTACTCGGTTCCGGGCTGGAACAGGCCAGGACATGCGGACCTCGCGGACATAGAGGCTCACAAAAATGGACACCGGATCGGGAGAACAGGTGAACGGAGGGGCAAAAATGGACCCATAAACTGGGTTGCGTGGGAAGCGGGATCATAGAACAATATGTGAGATAACACAGGGTGGGACAACGGGGAGACGGTTTGAGAACACGGAAACGAAAAATAAAAATATAGCAGACAAGATCTGCTCACAGACAGGCTCCGACCAAACTCTGAATACAATCAGAAAAAATAACGTGGCAAGAAACTGTCAACGACGGCTGTAAGTGTGCGTTCAAGTAATACTGCTTTGTGATACTGATTTATTTTTGTGTCGAGCTTTCTGTTCGTTATCCAAGAGCTTTTCTGGTTTGTTGTTGCCTCACGTTTATGCGTCGAGGAGCGTCGAGTCTGCGGCCGCGTCCATAAAGCCTCGAGCTGACGCGTGCGAGGATCGATCCCGGCCGCGTCGCCTGTTAACGCGGCGATCTGCACGCGATCTCTCCGTTTGACCCGCACCGCATCGGTCTTCGTCAGCCGCAATCAAAAACGCATCGCGGTGGAGCGCTACCCGTCCGCGCCCTGAGGTCCAGCACCGGCGCTCGTCAGCAGAGCTGACGTTCAGCACCGGCACCCGTCAGCAGTCCTGAGGTCCAGCACCGGCGCTCGTCAGCAGAGCTGAGGTCCAGCGTCGGCGCTCGTCAGCAGTCCTGACGTTCAGCGCCGCAGCACGTCAGAAGCCCTTAAGGCCAGCGCAGGCGCTCGTCAGCGCCCTAGAGGTCCGCATCAGGCGCTCCTCAACAGCCCCCAGGTCCAGCACCGACTGTCAGCGACCCTCGTGTCCAGCACCGACCGTCAGCGACCCTCGTGCCGAGCGCCGATGTCAGTCAGCAAACACCCGTGCCTGACCACGTTAGCACGTCATTGGCGCCCGAGGCGGACGTCCGGCGCCCGGCGCGATGTATGAGTCAGCTCCCCCTGCGTCAGGTCAGCCGTTTGAGCCCCCGAGCCGGATATATGAGTCAGCTCGGGTACTCAGCAAGCCAGTCGTCTGCGGTCCGGCCGGCTGTTCACGCCTACGGCCCGGTCGATCCGGCACCTCGGGCCGAGCACGACGGCCGCGCCGCGTGGGGAGGGGGAGGGCAGCCCGCTGTCTACTCGCCGTCCCACTAGTCCAATATAGGTGCAATATATCGGCCCCCGGCGGCCGGCAACGCCGTGGAGTATTGGGCCGGCCGCCGTCGCGCGCGCCACGGCAGCGGTTACGGCAAGTCGTGAGTGGTCTGAGCAGCGAGATCGAGTGACGCCTGCCGACTTCGGCCCCTCTTTTTTCTCCTTTTTTTCTTCAACCGATCCATCCGCTGGTAGGGAGTCCGGCCATCGCCGCCAGCTGTGCATTTCCTAATGAGACCAGCGGGTACTCGCCACACTACCATTTCTCGGGGTTTAGTTCTGAATTATAAAGCAGATTCAGAATGTTTTATGCTTAGATTAATCGTGGTTGCTTTTTCGATTGCAAATTGCGTGAACGCGGCTAATTGGAGCTTACAGAAATCATAGAGCGATAGGTTCTAGACAGTCTGTAATTCACCACACATCTCCAGACGTCTCCGCTAATAGCCGAGCCTGGAACCGTAATGTTCACTCATATCACCCGGCCCAGCCCGTGACCCGTAACATATGGATACCAATTGGATTACGACCCAGCCTGTGAATGCCTCCATGACTGACCGCATGCAGACGAGATGCACAAAGCAGTGTTGCCGCGGGGACAAAGGCCTTGAGTCTCGGTAAAGGTAGGAAAGAGCTTCTAGGAAACGGGTCTGGCCTCATATGTCAGGGTTGAGTGCATCAGCGAACAGGCAGGTAAATAAGAACTTCACAATGAAATAAACAACACTCTTTTCAAAGCCAGGAAAGGTTCCCAATTCATAGCATCCCGTACGTGGTCTAATGCGTTCAAAGGTTGGAACTTGCAGCATAATAGTATTCAGAGCAGCTACAATGCAGCGTCGTTTTCCGTATCAGAGGGGCATTCCGACATAGGTCACAAGCCAAGATATGAAAATCCCAAGGGTCAAAAGACAAATGAAAACCAGCCAAGTAACAAAATCAAAGAAAATCTGTTATACTTGAAGGGTTTTAAAATAACCTTTGGTAATGCAGATGACCAAAGATCCAGTTTCATTAAACTTCGTCAATGGCAAATGGCATTGGCTCAATGCAAACCATTGACATGGAAAGCTTGCGTCATTCTGACTGACATGGTCTCGACGGGATCGTGAAGCTCAAACGACGGAGAGCTACCATTCATATTGGCAAGTTCCCTGAACGGGTATTGGTGGCGCCACGGAAATGAGTGACGGCTCCGCATCGACTGGATGGCTAGGGGAGGGGGGAGGGCAGTTCGTGACCTTTGCCTCCCATCTGGTCATCCCCGGGGCGCCGTCGCCCGGCACGGCCCGCTTGCGTCGGGGATACCCTCTCCATGGACAGCTACGGACAACGCGTAGCTCCGAGGGCTGGCAAACACGGGTCCCATCCCGCAGCGTGGGCTTAGCCCGGCGCAAACGCGGCGTGACATCCCCGCCGACAGCGATGACTCGCCTTTCAGCACGTGCACGATGATGCTGGCGACCTGTGCGTTGGACGGGCTGCAACTGTAGACGCCAGAGTCGGCTGGGCCGGCCCGGCGGATCAGCAGGTGGGACGTGGTGACCTCACCCTTCTCGGTCACCACGTTGACCCCGCCACGCGGCGAGTCGTAGCTGATGACCTGACCGCAGTGGAGAGGGAAGGGGCGAGGGTCACATGGGGGAGCGGCACGTCACGTTTTCCGGCGTTCCCGCAGCAGCGACCGCGCCGCATCACCAGCGTTGCTCCGCCGCATCAGCCCAGGCTTCCATTCTCAGCCACCGTTCCGAAAGCTCGGTGTCGTACTCGTCAAATGTTATGTCCACAGCTCCGCGGAATGAGAGCTGACCCCGTGCTTGACCTGCCGCTGGAGAGCCAGGGCCTGGCGCCGCCCGTGCGCTGCTCCACCCGCCGTCCTTACCTGACCGCCGTGGTACCAGAAGATGTACTCGGGCGGCTCTGGCGAGTTGGTCACCAGACAGGTGAGGTTGAGCAGGCTGCCGCGGTTGATGTACATGTCGGAGCCGCCCAGCACTCGCGACTCGGGCACTGGCCACGGAAGGGCGCCATGTCAGGCGCGCCAATAGGATCATCAGAGCACACGCATCGAGCCTGCTCCAGCCTCCCAATGTCAGTTCTATCGAATTGCTTCCACTTTGTAGCATGGACGTGTGACCAGCAACGCACTAAGTACACCCATTTAGCTTCTGTTAGTTTTGCTAGCAACGCCAATCGTGCCCATTGATATCCGTTGCCTTTGATGCCAAAAGTGCATTTGAACCCATCTCATGATCGCAGACAATAAAGTATGTTGTAGCATTGTTGTTTACGACTGAAAACGTATTTCAGATGGTTTACATTAATGCTGAATGAGCTTGAAACCAGCTTAAACATGCTGGTTATTTTCGTTCACGATAGCCCATAAGCGGAAGAATGCCTCAGATAGTAAAAGTGTTAGAACTAGTCCTGGAATCGACTTGATCTAATCCTAATCGACTAAATTAGTTCAACCATCTTGGAAAGTGCGCATGCTGTGACACCATCGGACTCATGTTCCTACGCATTTGGGTAAAACGACGGAAAAGAATACGCTAACTTGACTTTGACTAACTTTGGATAGAAAAGAGCTAGCTTGGCATCAAACACTAAACTGGACTGATATCATTCTAACGTTACAGCAGCCTTATGAATGTTACGGGGCTTAATGAAACTGCATGACGTAACCATTTCCACACGTGTAAAAACGAAATGCCGGCAGGTATGACGCTCACAGCGCTGATAATGTAATATGAGTATGACGGTTTTTTTGACATCGTGCGGCGTATAGGTTTCATAGTGGGATCATGCCTCGATGAACTAACTGGATATGAGGTTAAACTCTCAGAACAAGTATAAGCAAATCGTATCCTCCGATAGCCGACACTTTCGTCACAATTTGCTGAACTGTTCAGAAGCTCTAAAAAAGGACATCTGAAATATCGTACGAGAATTAAACTGAAAAAAATCGTCTGAAATATTGTGCAAGACACTGACTTACTCGATTTTATAAGCCGCGTGCCATAAGTAACTTAGGAGCAAAATAATGACATATAGTAATGCTTTTTATCGTTACATTGCAGAGTACGGGACCGGCAATTGACGTTACCGCTTTCCGATACGCTACAGCCAGGGCCCAACCAATCACCAGCGCTGGATGTTTTTGGTCGGTCATTCGCTAATGGACTTTCGTCCTAAGGAACCACGTGACCTGCACTTAGATGAGCAAACAAATGTGTTGTTTTGACCCGACGGACGGTGACAAAGGGCGACAGTAAAGTCGGCGCCCATCGTTTCGAAATGCCTTGCACCTGGGGGGTGCCGAGCGAGCAGCGGTGGCACCGGTCCGCGCCCGTGAGTTTCTCTCGCTTTAGGAGCGAGAACAAGCCGCGGGCCGTCTTTTCCACGCCAGGGACAAGTCTTCTTAATCTGAATACCTTCGCAAGATATTACGATTGTGATGCTGCTTCGGAAGGCTGACGTTAAACAGCCACGATTTCCCACTCGTTCAGGGTGTTGCTGGACCGCCACGTCTGTTCCGATGGCCGACGCAGACGACGTCAGTCGGAGCGCCGCGTTAAAGCCCCGAGACGCCGCCTTTCTGGGCCGGCCATCCCATCCAGAGATTGGATCGGCCGTCATTTTCGGCTCGGAAAAGACAGGTCGAAGCCGAAGCGGCGCTCCTTTGTAGCGAGCCCGCAGAACGCGCTGACTAATAGCCGTCTGGCTGTCGTCACACACGGCGTCTTTTGACCGAAACAGAACCCCGGATCAGCGTGAGCGATGCCCGCTGGCGCACGTCATCAGCAGAGCAGAAAACAGCGTGACAAACGACGCTGGGATGAGCCGTCATCAGTTACCAGCGGGCTGGCGGGCTGCGGAGCGGGTGCCCCCGGCGCTCACGGGTCGACCCCGGCCGCACTCACCGACCACACGCAGCCGGACCGGGTACGAGATGAGCGGCTGGCTCGAGATCTGGCACTCGTACAGGCCAGAGTCGGTCGGCTGCGCGAACTTGATCATGAGCGTCCAGTCGTTGCGCGCCGCGTCGCGGGCCACCTGAAAGCGGGCGTCGTTGGTGTAGGTGTCGGTGCCGGCCGTAAGGATGTGCAGGTCCCTGCTGCGGATCCACGACACCTGCAACACGTGTAATAGAGCCGCGTGAGAGGGGCGAGAGGTGAGTCCGCGGTCCGCTGCCACAGCGAGTCTCTCGCAGCAGGCCATTTCCGGCCGCCAAGCTCGGTTGTTTCGCCTGTCATGCGTGCGAGCCCGGGCAGACCAATGACCGCCAGGTGTGCCCGGGGCGGGGCCGGTGCGTGGCTCGGTCCATCACCGTCTGGCAACTGGACGGTGGGAGGTCCGAGACCGCCCGATTCCAAGAACCGGCCCGGCGCCGCTGCTGGGGAGCGAGCTTGGCACGGCTTAAAGGGAGTGTCCCACATTGATATCTCGTTTGTAACTGAAATAGCCATCTTGAAGACCTTTCGGTGCTGTTCGCGATCCGGTCTTTTTTAAGAATTTTAAGTCCCTCTAGTTTCTGAGCCACACGCCTGCGAAAATGTGGAAAGGTACATTGAGGAAAGTCTTTAAAAGTCGCCTCGGCATGCATGACGTCATATTGACGCCATCCAAATCCTGCCATTCCATGAATCATGCGACGAGCAAGGCCCAGAAAATTCTAACTATCCAGGTGTTCCTATCTAGCGTTCGTGAACGCGCTTTCCATATACACCGGCCGTCAATTGGCTCGCAATCAATGTGTTGCAAGGTACGATGACGTAATCAAACCATAGTGCACTGATGAGCACATTTACTTTACAGAAAATTGTGCTGTCTAGAGCAGCGTTTTTCCTTTTTCTCTTTTTTTCTTTTCACTTTCACAAAGCATACCGATAGTTATAAGTGAGCTTGTCTCACCATATCCGATGTTTGTTTTAACATTCACAAATGTGAAACATTCTCTTTAATGGCCACGGTCGGTGGCGTCCACTCCGCATGGCGCCGACGCACTGCCGCCTCCCTCCACACTCGAAATACCACAGCCACTGTCCTTAAGCAGCTCTTTGCTGCAGCTGCCTGCAACAGGGCCCACTGCTGATGATTCCGTGATGCACATGCTCCACCGCAGGCCGCTGCCGCACCCGCAATAAGAACTAGGGCACCGTATTCATTAGACACCACACTCCAGGCCGTTTGAAAACGGGGACAGTCGCCGCTGGCCAACATAAATGAGAAAACAAATGATGATAAATCTGACAAAGTAACGCCCCTGGTAGTACCTTAATGAAATCACAGAGCGTCTAACATCTATAATACATTGGTCGTCTAGGATTCGCATGAACACAATCGTCCAGACTCGTGATTGTTGTATTGATCGTCAACTCTTGAAAGCGTAAGCGGACGTGCAAAACTGTGCAGAGCTCTGGTAGCTCGGTCAGAGGGTCAGGTAACAACGTCAACAGCCTACAGCAGGCCATTTACCGCAACAGATTCTACATTTTGTTTTCAGTAAATCCATGAGCTATCATCGCCAGTCATGGCAGTGTCCAAGAAGTTCATTAGGCTGTCTCACCACTGTTTCCGTCAACTATGAACAGTGAAAAAGAACTCATGGCCCATGTAAATGTGCACGACATTGTTGCCGTTACACCACCAGCGTGACCAAACTCAAACCAAGTAGATCCATCCGATTAAATGACTCGATAAATCATCTCAGTATCGTACACGAGCAGGTCAGAGCCGAGATTTGCCTTCTCAAACTCACCGAATGACTGCTGGCATGTTTTAATCTAAGAAAAGGACAGACCAAACGCTAATCACCGCCCGCTCTCCGATGCATGCTTCACCTTACATGCTGCAAAATTCGTCAAAGTTTTCGAAAGTGAGGGGTCCGTGTGATTATTACGGCCCAAAGCGCTCCAAATGCTTTATGCCATCTCCAAATTAGTCCGATCAGGAGAGCGCATGTGTGCAGATTCGGCTGCCAATCCGCGCCGAATGCTGCCTGGTAATGGATGTGTCTAGAAACAATCGAAGATGTACATCGTAAGAGGTATTGTCAGTATATGGGATGCACGATTCGCTTGTTCATCAAAAATAAAAAGGGTTTACTTGGAAAGCAATATCAAAAAGCATGAAGAGTGTTCGCAAGTAGGTTGAAATTAGTCGGAAGAGTACCGCCGATGTGCAATAAATATGTCCACCTTCTTAGAGCTGTCATTCAAAAGCAAAAGAGAAGAGGACTTGTCTTACATGAATTTCGCGCATTGATGTCACATACTTGGCTGTCTCTCAGCCGATCACGATCTTCAAAAACGGGCACGACTTAAAGGCAAAAGAAACCCAAAACAAAGCAGAGGCCAGTTATCAAGTGCCACGAGAGAGCACACAAGTAGTTATATGCGTCGTATAGAACAGGCTCGTACATAATATCCGTAGAAGCTCAACATACTCCCAAACAGAAAATCGTAACCAAAAGCTTTAAACCATAGGTCCTTGATGTTTGGAAACGAATCGCAAAAGTTGAGGCTAATTGTTGCTTTACAGATTCCCTGCGGGCCATCCCAGGGCCTTCTGGTCACCGCGGGTCACCATACCACCGCTCAGCGGCCCGTTTGGTCGTCAGAGGCGTACCGCTGTATCTTCACGACCTTCTGGATACATGGACTGTCGTGAGGTTCTCAAGACCCCTTTGTCCACTAGGAGGCCCCTACCACCTCAGAAAAGCATTTTTGGCTGTCCGCATATCTCTCTGACAGCTCAGGAGCCCTTTGAACGCCACGGTTTGGTGAACGTCCACGGCTCTCTATCCGCTCAGCGATCCTGAGGCAGCTCAGGGGCCTGTTACCTGCGCAGGGGCCCATCTCACACGTATCAGGGGCCCGCCTGACTGCTGAGGGCGTCCTGGCCGGGAAAAGAAATGTTTGGCCGCGAAGAACCCTCTGGCTATATCGTCATGACCATCAGAAAACGAGTTTTGGCTGCTCAAAGCTCCTTTGACTGCCCCATCTGCTGCTTAATAGTTCTTCTGGGTTCTTGTGGCCCCTCGCCCGCCCAGACACCCTGGAAGCCCAGAGGTCGCACTAAACGCTCAGGGTTCTATCCGTGCTCCGTCTGGTCGCTTAGGGGCCCGGATACCTGCTCGGAGTCCTTTCTTGCTACTAAGCTTGTACTTTGTTCACGCCCTTGCTATTTTTCCATTATTCGATCAGTTGTTTATAATTGCATAAATAATTTTATAAGTTAGTTGTGCTTAATTGAGGTGGGATGCTAAAATTTGCAACGCAGAAGTAGGGGAAACCATGGTTGGTAGGCTTGATGTAAATCTCCGTTTGACATTGTGTTGTTCCTCATTTCGGCTGTCATCTGTGGGTCTACATATGGTGACCCCTTTCTATACCGGGCATGATGCATAGAAAATGACGACTTTGTGATTATCAGTGTTCCGTTGTTCAAGGAAACCCAGCGTTGTGCGTTTGCTCCATGGAGAACAACCAACCGATCCAGCCGTCCAAAACTTTTTTCTTCCAAAATCACATTGGAGCCACAGACAGGTTTTACTTTACTTTGGGTCCATTTTCTGCACTCTTTCAACAGTTGATTACATCTTTCAATACAGGCCCGTTGCCGCAACATCAACACACCGCTATTGTGTCATTTTCACAACTGGCAATGAGAAATATGGCCAAAGCAAGCTAGACTAGTTTTTTATGAAACAAGTAGTGTGGGATCCTGCCCCCGCTCCGCCATTTCTGGAAGCTACACGCTGACATCTTTCTGTGTTATTATTTCATTGTAATGAGCCGTAAAGCTTTGAAATGGAGTACTAAAGCAAACACTGTAAGAAAAGCTAGCTGGTTTGAATAACCGTATATTCATTAAGCACAAGCGAAAGCTGCCCGAGAAGACATCATTGGTGCCAAACTCGGCTGTACATCGCGCAGATAGTCATCTAGGTATGCGTAATCATTACTGTTGCAAGCAAGTCGGGCATGTGGTGTTTGTTATCAGCCGTTTCGCTCCACTCACCGCGCTTACATTCGACACCAATTTTTTGTTGTGGCAGTTCTTTTTGTGTGCAAAAATCAACCAGTTATGTTACCACCGTCCAAAACAACGTATCATCATATGACATTTTCATGCTTTGAAAGTGAACAGATGTCCGTCATCTTGATTTCATGATCTGAGCAGCTCTGTGCTATTTCATATATTGACTCGACCTGGGCTACAGCCTGGCCAGACTTTGCTGCGATCTAGGCCGCAGGCCAAGCGAGATGTACTTGAGCGTTGAGAAACATGTTCCACTTGAGCGGCTCGAACCAGCCGAACCAGCCCAGCCGTCATGATTTCCCCAGGCCAATGTCTTCACGCCCATTGATCCCATTATTGTCTAGTTTTCGGGAAGCGCAGTTCCTTGAAAGTTGTGGCATCTAAATCATCAGGCAAACTCTTAAGTCACACACCTTGTTTAATTAGACGTGATATTTCTGGAGCCTTATTATGCGAACAAATCTACCCTTACCAATCGATTAAGATGGAAAACGTGCAATACGGTAGTTGCCAAAATGCCGTACAAGGCGGGTCGCGCTGTGCTGCGTTCTAAACGACCTGGCGTCACAGCGACACCAAATCGATACCGACTGACAGGACGAGGACGGGCAAGTCTACCCACAAAAGCGTGGATCGATGTTGGCAGCCGGCTACTTATGCCCGAGTGCAAATCATGGATCCGGTCGTTTTTTTGACCACTTTTGACGTCACATCTCAGTGAACGGAGAATATAAGGGTGTCAAACCAGCTGGTACGTTGTGGGGTAGCATACCGACTGCAAACTACCAGGCGATCTTTACACTGTCTGGCCCGCAAGTGCGCCGGTGGCCAACAAAACTACAAAGCCCCAAAGCGACTGATGTCAAGGATTGCTATCAGAAACAGCAGGACGCAGCCTAAGCCGAGGTGAGACTGTGCCATGACCCTAAAAATGTGTGTAGCCCGGTTCGCCGTAACGAATATCCACATACAACAGTTTTTTTCTTCAGTGCTCTTCAACAGCCTCTGGGAATGTAAATCATGACCACTTCACCTTCATTTAACAAGGTGAAGTTCACCTTTCGGTCTTTCCGTTTTAACTTTTTCAGGTATTTGGATATTTTTGTCGAATAAATTGAAAAGCTCAGCCAAAGCCACAGCCAGTCAGTTTTGCAGAAATGCAACTGATGGATTGACGCGCGAACGCCGCAACAGTGAACCTCACGCTGCTCATTCACATGAAAGTTATAATTCACATGAAAAATGACACATGACACACCCACCGTCCCACGCCGCACATAGCCACTCGCTGTTAATTTCAAAGTGCCTTTGATTTTTGACATGTCATGCATTTTTCATACTACACATATGAAAATATCAGCTTATGTAAAATATCAACTATATGTATATTGACTATACGTAATTCGGGATATTCTCCACCTGAAGGCATCGATATTTTTCTGCCGGAGTGCCACAACCTCCGGTGTTGATTCACAGCTTCGTAAAAAGCTTGCACAAAAATGATGCACAAGCCATGCATACATGTGCGTGGCATACCGTTTTATTGTTGAGGCGTTTCACTTTGCAGTGAAGGTGTGCTGTTTTTCCCTGCAGAGCTGTAACGTTTCGGGGCGTGGTGGTGTCGAAATGCGGCGAATCGAACGCCTGCTGAAGCCAGCCATCTGAAACAGGGCAGAGCTCATGTGACCGAGAGCGGCGGCCTTGTCCCGGAATGAACACAAGGCGTTGAAACACGCTCAACGACACGCCTTTTTGTCAGAACAGCAAATGCAGTTGTGGAGTCATCCGACTTATTAAGCAACGGATGGCATATAAAACAAAAAATGTAAAGGAGGAAAGGGAGCAAATAGACCGCAAATACAAATGGGAGGGTCTAGCGAGCTGTTTAGAATAATCCAACGCATTCCAGCGGGATCATGTACTTGAAGTCCGCAAAATTTGTGGGGGCTCTTGCGCTGAAATGACGCACGTGAAAGCATCTTTGTTTAGCGCTTGTTACCGAAAATGAAAAAGTGGTCTCTTTTCCTTGAGTTCACCAGTTGTCTTTGCTGACGTACTCGATGTTTTTGCATAACTTGTGTGCTGTAAAGCGACTTAAAATGGAAGCTAGCATTCAGAAATCAATGCTTTTAGCGTTTACTGCTAAACAGTATGGGTGTACAACGTATTTATCACTTGTTTCCAACCGCTCTGTTTTGCACGTTGGATAGGTAAAAGATTTCCCAGACGTCAACCTTGTAAGGATATTCAAGTGCATGTGATACATGTCAAGTCCATTGCCAATATTAAGATATCGAGCATGACTAGATATAATCAGCGAGACGGCCAAACCTGCTACATAAAGGGAGCGTTCCACATTTCAAAATATTAAAGTAAGCATCAAATATGATGACATTAACTCATTTATAACTGTTAGCACGCTTTTAAGGGGAAAAGGCTGCTGTACACAACACAATCTCCATGCGTAGTAAACATGCTCCTCAATGCGTCATTGATTAAGCCATCGTACCTTGTACAACATTGATTGAGAGCCAATCGACGGCTGTTACATCTGGACGTTGCGCTCACGGACGTCAGATAAGAACGACTCGACAACTAAAGAACATGGCGGTACCAGAATTGCATAGACCTTGATCGCCGCATGACAATAGAAGGGCTGGTTTTCAATGACGTATTTATGTTGTCATGGACTTTGACCTGGAAATAGTCTTCCCCAAATAGTCTGCACATCTTCGCGCGCGTGTAGCTCAGAAAATGGAAGGGCTTAGGTCTCAAAAAGGATAGCGCTGTGAACTGCACCAAATAATCTTCAATATTTTTATTCATCTCAATGATCAATTTTATTTCAAAACCCCTTACAAATACGAAACACTCTTCTTAATCCTTGCATTTACATTAGCTGCAAAATAGTTAAATAAAATTGACGCCAAACAGAGCCGTATTCCACCTTTCGAATGCACAGCCTTATCTCCTTTGCAAAAATAGGCCTTAACCATGTCGGCATACCGTGGAGGTAATTCCATAACGCTTAAGATATAACGGACGTTGTAATCTGTAACGCGATACACCACTTACCAATGACATGGCTCATAATAAGTGCTTGTGTATGTGCTAATCAATTACCATTGTGCCTAGGTTATTTGGGAACAAAAGAGCATCCTTCATTGATAGATAACGTAAAAATATTTGGCGTACTACCTTAACACACGATGGCCTGGGCTGCTAAACGTACATTACCTCCTCAGAGTTACTTAAGTGACTTTCGAGCCATTCAAAGCAAGTTCATCAAGCTCGCGGTACCTGTCAAGTGGCTAATTTAACGCATGTAGCAAAGCTTTGTTAGATCACTGAGTTATGACATGATCTGCGCAGGAAGGTACACAACTATTTGCCCTTTTACGGGTCCGCAGTTTCCTGTCTTGCTTTGCTCTTTTACCAGAATGTTCACTTGTGGTGAGCTTGCGGAGTGTGGCGTCGCCCTAAGGTTGTTACGGTAGCGACCGGGGCGCAAAAACAAGTAAAAATCTGCATCGGAGGACGATCTGCGCAATTATATCATTAGAAGCATCTGTGTCCATGAATTTCAGGTATCCGGTACGGTACTGAAAACTATTGGATTGCCCGTCTCTGAACTCCGTCGAAATGTCGCATTGATTGGTTGTCTCTGGACCCCGTAGAAATTTGTCACCAGATATCGGTAGCCCGATCAGACGCTGCGGTGGCATTAATTGCCTGCAGCTGCAGTGTGATCTGTCCTCCAACCGTGTGCTAGTTTGACGCTGCTCCCACCATGAGACTGCCAGTAGCAAGCGCGAGGATGCAGGGGCATTTCGTCCCCAATGCACGTTGCTGAGATCTAAGTCGAGTGACTTGGAACCCAGCGAGTTCAGCGAGCGTCGAGCAAAAGCGAGGGAATGCGTGCGATCGTGTGCATAAAATACCGCTGACCAATGCCTGCTGAGATGGGTGTCCTGTAAATGAACACTCGCCGGGGTAGTCGGTTGGGCACCCTTAAATTTGACCAAACGTCGTAGCTCTGAATGACTGAATGGTTTGTTCAGGTTTTCATTGAACAGAAAGTTCGGAGCAATTTATTTTATATGAGCAGAAGCACAGAGATAATCTGGAGCTGCCTCTAAGCAGCTCTCAACGAATTATGATCAACTAACAACTAACTTTGCACCGCTACAAAAGTCGATACTGAATCTAAAATGGATCTAAAACTATTCTATGTCGTGCCGGTTGATAAGATTGCATGCGACAAGAAGCTTTAGAGATAGGGTTGGTAAAAACGCCCCAAGACGGCGAAAGCGGACAAAACAGCTTTGAGGCTTCAAATGATGGTGACAAAAAGTATCGCAGGCGGCGCATTACACGATAAAAAAACCCATTGCACTGGCCTTAGCTACTGGCCTAGCTGAACGCTCTAATGCCTTCACCCAACTATCACTACACAGCATATCAGAATTATATCACTATGGCTTATATAAGTCACATACGTTTTGAGCGGCATTGTACATCGTGCAAATAGAAATTACAACACTGAATGTATATTCACATATATACACATTTCGGGTGATCATCAGATTATTTTTGTGCCTTGAACGATACGGCTTGGCATAATACCCATTTGTGCGGCGAGCACAAATGGGTATTAGGTACAGCATGGGTAAATGGGCAGAGGGCAGCATTGCTGGCAAAATACAAAAACCGCCTCGTTCTCGGCACGGCAATTGATTCACCGACGTAGAGCAGTGTTCGCCGCTCATAACCACCAGCTCTGCGAGCAATGACGGTGATCGAACGGGGAAGTTGTTCGGAACGTGCCGCCAGCGTAGTCCAGAAAACAAGCCAGGATTGGCTCGGCCAAGGCCAAAAGAACGCGGAGATCGAGACAACAACTTACCGGAGAAAATGGTGCCTGTTGTTGCAAGCCATAGTAGATGATTGTTCTAAAAGAAACATAATTAGGCGACCATAGCAATCCAAAGGAGGCAATCAATTACAAGGGTTGGGTAACAAAACAGTTTGTAACTATCAGGGAAAGAAAAATAGGCCAAGTCGATCTGATCTAGCCCATCTCCGAAGATTTCCCGCAAAATACCCGACTGTGTGCGTGAGACGATGGCAACGATACGTCCTCCGTAACTGTCGCTCCCGCGCCATTAGCGTCCAACAGCGTGCTGAATGATGCCGAGTTCTTGAAGGACCTCACATGTTGGGACATTTGAAGGACATTTGAACCGTACGGGGTTCGTTGTTAACCTTTTGCTACGCTGGGGTGGTTGAAAAACCGCGTCACCAAAATTTCGCACAGTGGGTGACACTTTCAAAGTTCATGCGATCCAACGTATGACATACTGATCCTAAGGTACAACTCGCATTGATCGTTAAATGGTATAAGCCAGTATTTCTGGATAAACCGTCCCAGATCACAGGTGCTTAGAATGAATACATCAAACCGCGAACATGCAATGAGAAGAGCCGCCTATCTCTCTAACGTCGTTGGTTACTAACTCAAACATCCATAACATCTAACATGGTTGGGTAATTACGATGCCTGAGCAAAACCGTGAATATGACGATACCGCTGTCGAGGTCAGCCGAATACTTCAAAGTAAAATGTTCTTTTTACGTTTGATTTATTTCAGTAGACCACAATTCGACACCAAACCTAGTAACGCCCTGATTTCACATTATACATGTTGTCATCAAGCGCCGTGATTGTTTGCTCCACAAATACGTAATTGATTATTTTTGCTTTTTATTCCCACATGAAACATGCCATCTCTAATGAAACAACAAAATCTTACATTTCAACCATATGCTACGAACACATGCCAAGAAACGGACACAAATGAGGCTCGAGTGTGAATGACTGAGCTTGTTGGAGGTGTTCATATTGTTTTGTCCTCTCTAGGATTTCACGATGTGGCTTCAGTGCGTTTACAAGGTACCACCCAATCCAGTTAAACAGCCGTAGTGAACATAATGGTCACGTCACATTTCCGTTTTGTCGGTTGTCAACGAATCCCCCTACAAGCGTAGCAAAAACACTATTTACATATAATGCCGCCACCACTTTATGGTATAATGCCACCACCAAGGTATACCTTGGTGGTGGTATTTATAGACACCGTGGTGATTTGCTATATGGAAATAACTATTCTGCCTACTTTTACAGCGTGCGAACCCCAAGTCATTTAAATGGAGTAGCATCATTTGCAATGCGCGCACATCATTATGAATTCAAATGTTGACGACGTGCTTCAGCATTGGGGATAGCGGCAAGTACAGGCACCTATGCACATAAGCACAGTATTTATGTGCATGAGTGTACCTACTGGGGAGCCACCTTCTGGGACATGTCTCTCCAATTGACTCAGCCAATACTGACTTACAAACCCCAATCTTAGAGACGTGGATACATTTATATGTGCGTGGAAATATCATTCAGCCACCGAAAGGCGCCGTCACTGACGGTAAGTTTATGAAAATGCACTGAAATGAAGGCGAAAAATTGTAGCAATTCCTAGCTCACCGCGGCTCTCACAGAAAGAGAGCAGAAGAAGGAGCGGGCACATCACGGAACAAGGGTGGGAGGATCACGAGGATCACGTTCACAGCAGTGGGATTACTGCGTTGAGATGCCGCCATGAGT